TAGTAAGATACTTGCAGTTAGACTCAGGTGTCTGCAAACAGTAAAGTATGAAAAGCATGGGTTTGAAAACCTTTATTTGGTACTCTCCTACATACCTTATGCAGTGGCCCCTACTCTAGGGTCTACTATGTGATTTATCTCTGCTCAGTCTTAGCAGGTATAGTGCTAATTGCTGATGTTTATTAAGCAAAAAATGGTCATCGCTGTTCTGCTTGCATTGTTATATTGACCATAAAAACAATGACATCAGGACAAAACAGGACTCGTAAAATAAGCCACAATATTTCAAAGGAATGAAGTATTAACTGAAAGGAACAAAAGTTTCTCATATGGGTCAGGGACAACTTTAATTCAATAAATTTTTCTTTTAATGATAGACTAATGTGTTTTGCTAATGCTAATGTAATTCATTACATAATGCTTTTCTTTTTGAATCACAATACTTTCTAATATTGATAGAAATTTGTATTTGATTTCATATGTATGAATTTAGGCAAGTAACAAGTACTTTCTTTTTTAAATGAAAAGAAACTTACAGGTTAAAGGAGCCTAGCCACTAAGAGATTGTTTCATCAACTTGTGAACTTAATGAATCCTTAGAATTATAAGAGTAATCCTTAGAGTAAACTATCCCAAGAAACTGAAACTGTAAATAGGGACCAAAATATACATAGATAATGTGAAATAGGAAAAAAATGTTCAAAAGGAAAAGGGAACTAGGGAGGTGGTTGGGGGAAATGAAGGAAGGAAAAAGCAAAAAAAATGAGAAAAGAAGGAAAAGATGGAAATGGGGCTTTTGTAAATAGGCAGAGAAAGAGGACTTGAAGGGAGGGGAGGGGAATGGAAAAAAAAAAAAACAGGACTCAAGATACATCATATACAGGTACAAATTCCCTACAATGAATGTGATCGTTATGTATATCTAAATTGTACCAATAAAATTAAAATTAAATGCCCCCAAAATAAAATAAAATCCCTTATAATATGTTTGTCTTTGTTTAAAACAATAATTTGTTCGACAAACATTAAGTCACTAATATGTACCATTTTACACTGCTGAACAAAACTCAGCCTCTGTTTTCCTTCTACTTGCATTCTGTCAAGAATAAGCTGAAATGAGCTGGGGATTTAGCTCAGTGATTCCACCGCCTGTCTCGCAAGTGCAAGGTCCGGAGTTTGATACCCGGTACAAAAAAAAAAAACAATAAGCTGAAATATCCTTTGATTAATAGCTACATTTAAGTAATAGTTTTATGACTTTAAATCAATTGAAATGGTAACACCATCTGAATTGTAAGCCTTGTGGGACTTTGGTTATATCTAATGCATCACAAGCATACAATAAATATTTGCTGGCTGAATAAATGAATTAATAAACAGTTTCAAATGTTTAGTTATTGTTAATGACTTTTTAGAATTTTACAGTGCTCTGAAAATAAAGGTATTCTTTCATGGTCAATTACATAACTGCTTACTGATGAACCTACTTAATTATTTAAAATGTCAGTGTAGATGATAAGTAAAACCCCTGACCAAATAACTGAACTTACCAAATGTCTTGTGGTGAGTTGATTGGAATTTGTTTGTTAATACAATCATTATTATATCAGTGTTTCATTCATAATATCTAATTTTAGTGATTAAATATTACTTTATTCTCCCTGGAAATAACTATTAGCATATTGACTCACGAAATAAAGCAATATTAATTAGGAACATAGAATAATATATAGCACATTAAAGAAAGCCTCTGTTCACATAAAACTATTCAGTAACTCACAGTTTGTTAAAAATAATATGAAACATTGCAAAAGTTTTCAGTAACTGTCTTTATTATTCATTTCCAGGATTTCCTTAAGAGCCAGTGGTGAGACAAAAAGTGTAGACTGTCCAATTACAATCCCTCCCAGGCAAGCAAATGGAAGTCAGATGGTGGTGTAGCACTGCTCCCCCTGCCTTTTGGACCACTGCTATTCCACACCATCTTCTCTGTTTACATGTAGGCTATGTTTTTTGGCTCAAAAAGAGAGTGAACTCAAGGCAATTTGATATGACGGATGCCGCTCTGCTACGCACTTTTGCACATGGTGGCCAAAGATCTCTAGAAGGGGCTGCCTTCCCTGTCTGCTCCCACTGCTGTAGCCTCTGCAGCCTTCTAAGTGTGTTACCCCTTTCAACAAAATCTTTCTGCTTTTGCTTAAGAATTTTATGACCATCTAATGATTTGGGGTTATTTTGGAAATTTAAGAGATAATTTTGGAAAGCAGATACCATTAACCTTAGGTATCTATCTTTCATCATAGTCATATCTTCTATTGGGAGATTATGTTTCAAGGAGAAAACAGAACACAAAGACAAAGTGAAACAAATAGAATTTTCTAGAACAAAACACATTTACAAGTGCTTCAAATTTCCATTGAGCAAGTTTCATTTGAAAAATTTGGAAAAAAGAAACTGGTCAATTGGACATGGTTTATGTATCCATGAAGTAAATGTGTCAAATTTTAATGACAGAAAGAGAAATCTGACAGCAGAGAAACACTTCTTACATGAATTCCATTGTCTCTGTTTCTTTCCAGAAGGTCATTTATATTAATGTTTATCCAGGCATGCATGCCATGGTGAGAAGTCATTTTTATGGAGGCTCCTCTTCACGCGGGCTCATCTTTAAGAGTAGTTTTTGTGACGACCTGAGTCTTCTTGTTTTCATTGCTCTTTTCCTGAAAATGCTTATTCAATATATTGAATCCCATTTAGAATTTTAAAATACATGCTCAGAAATTAAAAATGTTTGCACTGTGCAGTTGCAAAATACTTTATCTTTTGAATTGTTCTCAGATACTTTGGTATAGCAGTACTGATGTGGTACCACACCTACCAAATGAAAGGGTAAAAATATATTGACTTTTAATTGCAAATGAATCTGACTCTTAATTTAGAGGCTATCATTTCCCTGTTATTCTTGGGAGGTTTTTTCTTTACTTTTCTTTCTTTAATTCTCATGTTGATCTTTTTGAAAAATAAAAGCCTGCCACTTCTAGACTGAGTTGGAAGGAAAGATGGTAGGTAAATGGATACTAAAACTTCCAACTAAGAATGCAGGTAACTAATTTCCAATATATAAGAAGACTATATGCCTGGGTAAGCAATTAAATTACAATTACACTAACAGAGACTATAAATTGTGCTTTGGAAAATGAATTTTTGAGGCTTCTGAAACCTAGCCTCATTTTTATTTTTCATATGTACCTTAGGAAAAAAGTCACCACTTATGGAAGATGATAAGAATTGTTTCTTCATCTAATGTGGCCAGGTTTTACTTTATAATTCCATTACAAAGTAATGGATTTGCTCTAGAGACATGAGGCAAATTCATAACTTGCATAATTTATATTAAAATACAGAGAGAAGATTGTAGCCTACTTTCTCTGGACCATGGTTCATAAATGTGAAGAAGATTTTTCTTTGAAAATAATTGATTTGAATCAGTACTGATGACCACCAAGTATCGGTTTAGTTTGGATATTAAAAGAAACTTCAAGAATTTTAGCATTTTAAATGATTTCCTATTGAAATGGTGTATCTTTACTTAACTTTTAGTCTGTATTGCTGCTGTCTTTTGTGATATCACTTTATAGAACTACTTCATGCATGTCTCCATTTGAATCTGCTACAGTAGCAACCTGCAGGGGTACTAATAAAGAACTTTCAATAAGGCAAATGTTAAACACCATCATCTCTTTAGTGTAGGGACTTGATACAAGAATCATGATGCATACAATAAGATTATGCAAGCCCTTTCAGTATCTTGCATTACCAGTAAACTGAAGATTGTGAGAAATATGACTTTGCTTTATACATTTAGAGGATACACATAAAAAGAAATTCAACATGAAACCAGGCACCTGTAGGTAAAAGAAAAGCATTAAAATTTCATAATGGTTCTAGAATGTGCTCAATAAATTTACATTGGTATCAGAATGCTGTTCCAAACAATGAATGTACTGTGAGCCCTAAGGTTAAGTGAGAGCTTATAAGGAAAATTAGCTGCATGAAAATACTGTAGACTTCCAAATTTTAAAGACATTAAACATTAAGGATAAACACGTACTTTGCTAATTTCCTCAAATTAAGTATGGTATTTTGGAAAGGTGTGCACTTTCCCCATTTTGCTCATCAAATTTTAGAAACTCAGATTTCAATCAGCATGTAGTCGCAAAGAGGATTTGATTTCCAGTGTGACTTGTGTTTATGTGCATGGGTTAAACCAAATCAAAGTACACTGTACACTTTGTAGAAAATATCTTATTTCTATATCCATCTACATTTCAAATAAAATTACTTAAAAGTTAAGAATTATGAAACTTCCTCTTAGGATAATTGGATTTAAATGTACTGACTTAACAAGAAATATTAGAATATATTTTCTGTTTAAAATTCTGATAATGCAAAAACACTTAAAGCTAGGTTATCTAATCACCATTATTGAATTATTATAACTACTATTTGGGGAGCTAAACTATATTTCCTAATGATCAGTTATCTTTTATTTGAAAAAGATTTAGATGTCATTAAGAAATAACAAATTAACCTCAATTTTCAACTTGTTCTTTTTATTTTTAAAGAAGTGAGCTCTAAGGATTTTTAAAAAGCAGAAATAATCTCAAATACTAAATGGAGACATTTTATGTTAACTTAGCCACTTATACAAGTATATTAAGTATGTGCCATTAAAGAAAGAGATCTAAAAAAGTACTATATAAAATGGGTGGCACAATTTTCAGTTTGTTACTTGAAAGCTGGCTTTTATTCCCCCTGGAACTTGTAAGCCTGCACACATCACTGTTCTGTGTTAGACGCATGGTGATAAAACTGTGAAAATGGAGGCTTTCCTGGTAGCAAAAGGGTTAAGTTCTTTTTGCTTTACCAGTTTCAAATTACAATGAGAAGCCTCTTCTTTCCCAGCAGGGTTGTGCTTACATTACTCTTTAGATCTCTCTTGAAGAGGGCTGGTATATTTGTGCCTGCTGGAGGTGGAATTAACAGTAAGCAGGAGAAAGGAAGGGATTGAATGGATTTACAGGAAAGATTTCAAGTGAATTCAGGGAAACACATTTACATGAGTAGTACAACCTTGAGTCTTATTTTACACTAAGACGATACAAAAGATGGTAAAGTTATCACCAAGCTGCCGGACAAATATAGATTCCAACACCAAGGTGCAGATCAGCATAGATCTGTGATTCAGAAATCAGCATTTGTCTTTGTAAAGAGCGCAAGAGTTGAGAAGAACTCAAGAGCAAGTGAAGACAACTTGGGAGCTACAGCTTATCAGAAGATCAGCTTTCATTAATTCAAATACCAAAGGCTTGATTATCATAAATTCATATAGGAATGCATAGGTCATCTGATCAAATAATATCAGTCGTCTTCTGCTACATCAGTGCAGGAAAAGTTCTTAACAACTGTGGATAATTGGAAGTCTTGAGTTTCAGCTTTCTTAGAAATAATTACTCTTGACACATTCCAAAATATTTAAAATAGGAAAAGAAAATCAGGGAGGATGTTGTGTTCAGAAACGTCACTGTCATGAAGAATAGGTAAATCTGTTTTTAGAGCTACTGGGAAAGTGTGCCTCCTAGGAACTTGAGATATTTTTAAAAGTGGACAAGAAAGACTAAAAATATCAACCTCTGCTTGTGGACAAAAATGCCTCTGACTGTATTTTTGCTTAGGGGTATTGTGGGTTTCCTCTGGAGCTGCTGGGTTCTAGTGGGTTATGCAAAAGGAGGTTTGGGAGACAATCATGTTCACTCCAGTTTTATTTATAGAAGACTACGGAACCACGAAAGACGGGAAATCCAGAGGGAAATTCTCTCTATCTTGGGTTTGCCTCACAGACCCAGGCCATTTTCACCTGGAAAGCAAGCATCCTCCGCACCTCTCTTCATGCTGAACCTGTACAATGCCATGGCCAACGAAGAAAACACCGGAGAGGCGGAATACTCAATGAGGGCATCCCTGGCAGGAGAGGCCAGAGGGGCAAGGAGAGGGTACCCAGCCTCTCCCAATGGGTATCCGCGCCGCACACAGCTCTCCCGAACGACGCCTCTGACCACTCAAAGTCCTCCTCTGGCCAGCCTCCAGGATACCAACTTTCTGAACGATGCTGACATGGTCATGAGCTTTGTCAACCTAGGTATGTTGCTCATTTATTTGTTAATCTATACTCTTACAAGGTGGAAGCTTTCCTAATGGTAAAGGAGCTGCTTGGTAGGTGGTCATGTTTATATAAAGTCATTTTCTATAACTCTCCTCTCCAGCTTCTGTTTCTTTTCTTTCGTTGATGTAATAGAAGATTGTGCTTTAGCCAATAAAGTCATATATACATTTAATAGGAAAAGCTAAATTTAAGTAGTTATAGTCTTGGTAGATTTGGGTCTTTTCAGAGCTTGTTAAAATTTCAACCTAGCTTAAATGAATGAAAGCAATAGTCTAAAAAGGGAAAATTTATGAGGATACAGTAATGTTTTAAGCAAGAAAAAATAGATGCGTTTACATATGGGAAAGTTAAAGCAACGTTCTAAAGCATCTTTTGTTAATAATTTAAAGAACAATTACTGTAAAAATATTGATATGAGATTAGCAAAGATCAAATAATACCCTAAAATATCACTATCAAAGAAACTAGGATGGGATCATAAAATTCCATGAAACATATTTTAGAAAAGAAGTTTCAATTTAACATTTCTTAAGTGTAATGATTAAAATATATCATACCTACTTGATTTTTTTCCACAGGCAAAAAAAATGTAAAACATGCTATGATGGTCTTTACCTGTACAAAATTTTCCTTTTACTTGAGATAAAATAATTAATTGAGAATTTCTGTAGGGAGCAACAATATTAATGAAGAATTTTAAAAAATTATGTTTTACTTATTTGCAAGTTAGGGTAGTTTTTCAACAGTGACAATATCAAATGTTCTCACAATAATATTAAAGAGATTATCAACTTAAAATGACTTTAGATATTCAGAGGAAAATAAAATTGAATATATTTTATTTTTGAAAACTGAAAACTTAGCAACAAATTTAATCAGCTGGAAATATTAGGGAACTTTAATATTAATGCAAGAACTTTTAAAACTTTATTTTACAAGTGTAATCTGCTTTGACTTAAAATCAACTTGCTTCATTAGACACTTAATTAAAAACTTCCTCATATAATATCTCAATGGAAATATTCTTTGAAAAGTCAGACAGCAACAAATCTTCATGACACATGGATGTTTTTATAATATATGTTGCTTAATAAGTTCTGCTCATTTGCTCTTAACAATCTTAGCATGAAGGATAAGGTGCTTAATAAATCAAATGTTTTATGTTATGAGAGACAAAGCTCTCATTATTATGTTTTAGTAAGTCATCATTTTTTGCACTAATCAGGTGTTCTGGAGGGCTTTATTTCTGTGTATAATTAGAAGGTTTCTTTTGGAACTTTTAAATATAGCTTAATTCCAAATTAGTTTGAGTGCTTTTTCCTAGTGCAAAGGGCATGAAATTGTGAGTCATTTTACTTTGTAACATTTCTAAAGTATTGCTGCAGAATTTAAGTTAGCTTCAATATTTTAAGGGAAAAATTCCAATCTAGCATAATTTATATTAAAAAAATAACTTATTGGAAATATCAGTGCAGGTCATCTAAAATCTAGCAGAGAAGAATGTGCTATATACTTTAGAAAACAACAGTTCCAACATAATTGTGTCACAATAATACATTTTATTGTAATGTAATTTATTGATCATTTACATGAGAAATGTATTATCATTTTAGAAAAGAATTATGAGTTTTAATTTTGTGCCATTATTTTTTATGAACCTACATAGAATAAGAAAGTCAAAATGATAATAAACAACTTTATTCAGTGATTATAGAATCCTTTTTTATTACTAAGGAATACTTCTGTTTTTATATGAATGAAATTTTCATTATATTATCCATATTAATAACAAATACTTTATAACTGTATTGCCTATACCAAGAAATAAAATTATTCATTTTTTCTTTAGAAATAATATTGAATGTAAACTTTAGAAAACTTTATTTTTATCATACTTGCATTGCTGAGGAGGAATTTATCCTCAGTGACAAACCATATCATTTCTTCTTTAATAATTACAAAATGTCTCATTAGAAATTATTGAAAACTGATTATGATGGTAGGTGAGTTTCTCCTGATAGTCTTGGAGGAAAATTGTACCACAATTTTGTTATCTTTAGAACATGTCTTCTTATCTATCCAAGCCTTACAACCAATCCCTTTTTAGTAAAAAGTTTTAACTTTTAGGGCCAGAGATTTAGCTCAGTGGCACTGTGCCTGCCTCACCAACACAAGGTCCTGACTGAGTTCGATGCCGGGTACCAAAACAAAAAGTTTTAACTTTTATATACCCTTCATAGTGGAAAAAAAAAAAAATCAAACTTCATGAGGAAAGGTAAAAGGATGATATTATGCACTAAGAATTTCAGTGCTTTATAATAAAACATTCATTAACAAACATTACTTCCAACATATCTCATGTTGTTCTAAGACTCAGGAGAATTTTATTGTTTTAGTATCTTAAAAGATGTCTATGTTGGTGGAGACTTAGTGCAAATGAGTCAAACTAGCAGTAACAAGGGATTTGTCCTGAGGAAGTCACCTGGCTAAAATAACAATGTGGAAAGAATCTGCTGACATTTCCCATAATAAGGTGAATTATACTGAAAGAATCTACCAGAACCTTTTTAAAAATGTTTGCATATTGTCACGTCTGCACTTGTCATTCAGAAAGACATTTGTTCTAATGTTTGCTCATCAAGTGCAATTAAATTTAATCCAAACTTAGAATCATATTTAACAAAATATCTACTTTTAAAATTTAAGGGAGGTTATCGCTTCTCGGCCTTTTGGCTAAGATCAAGTGTAAAATTTAAGGGAGGTTAGTAGACAAAATAAAATGTAAACAAATTAACTGTAAACAAATGTCTATATTAAAACTAAACATTATTTTTACCTTTATATTATTTTAGCAATTTGTTGATCTTGAAGAAACAAATGTGATTGGGTACAGAAGAACTTCTCACTCTCTTGTATGCAGTGTCCCTAGGCCAGACCTTGTCATTCTCATAATATGAGAATTTACAGGTTGAATTCTGTTTTTTTCCAAAAACTGCTTAATATCAGTGGAAATTTATTTAATCAATACCACTTAATTTGGTAGTAACAAAAGTATCTTTCTGGTTTTTTTTTAACTTCAACATTTCTTTTGAAAGTGCTAACAGTTTATGCATTAAATACCTATGCAAATGAAAGGAGGGATTAGATTACATGCTTTCAATTTCTAAGATCTTTAAAAATTAAAAACTAATTTTTATTTGATTACTTAATGCTAGTACTATAACTAAAGTGACATAACCTTTCAGATGCTTTGGAGGAAATTACAAAAGACCAGTAAAATAGGAAATTTACTTCTGCATTTTTTTCTCTGAGTTTTTCTGAAAAAGTTGAATTTTGAGTTTATTAAATGCTTTTTGATTCACTGATTAGTTGACTTGGAGTCAATTTTTTTTAGATATATTTCAAGAATATATATTCTCAAGTGTAATAGTATATAATAATGATGCTTAATTTTTTAATGTTTATAACATATTTAGTATGTTAGAAAAAATTATTTCAAAATTTTTAAATTAAACCCTCCTTCTCCAAATCATTAAAGCCTCCTCATAATTGGAAGGAAAACAAAGTTTATGTACTCAACTGACAGACTTGACAGACACCTTGGTATTTATTGTTGTTTTTGGCTGACTAGAGAGCCCAGTGGAAAGATATTTATATACAAATCTAACTAGAGATGCCTGTCTATGTTGTCTCCCAACCAGGGTTATTAACACTTGTGTAACATAAACACACCCATAAACACATGCACCATTTTGTTAAAGTAGGGGGATGGGATAAGAAGATAGGTGATTTAAAGTTGTTCCAGTACATATTCTTGGGTTATGCTCAGAGTAGTAAATACTAGTATTTGGTAAAATGACAATAATTCTTTAAACTTGTGACTTTTGAAGAGAATGACATTGCTAAGGGTGGAAAGCTTTTTCTATCTTCTTCAATGAAGATTTTTATTCAGAAACGTGACCCAAAGGATGGTTGTTCTCCTTAAAGCTATTTGATTGTCCACTGGCTGACAGAGATAAATATGATCATAGTTTAATTAAAAGATGTTTTGGAAAAGTTTAATTACCACTCACAAATAGCCAGTTTCAAAGGTTTAATGAGAAGTAACAACCAGAAATAAGAGCATACAGGCTGAGAGGAATTGGGGCTGCCTCAACCACTGGCTCTGACTCCTTTCCCAGCATTCTTCTGTCTGCTATAATTTCATTTCTCTGCCTCCTGTTTGCTGCCCGCCCTGACATGCTTTGTCCTGTCCTCTTTGGTAGCCCCAGGCTTTCTGGGCACCCCTCTTTTGCCACTCTCTGCCTTCCAGGGGTCTGCCTTTGGTCCTGGATTCTTCATAGCTAGAGGCTTAGGTTTGTTGAAAATCAATTAGTTCCAGCTTGGAAGTTTAGGTACAATCTCCTGTTTTCTCTCTAGTTGAGAAGGAGAAGGTTGGGTCCTGCCAGTTGCAGCCTCCGCCCACTGGGAAGGAAGTCCCCAGGGCATTAGAACAGCACAGCCCCTGCCAGACCTGCCATTGTTTCCCCATCACCCCATACTTTTGCCTCCTCATCTCTCCCTGAGGCTGTCACTGACAAAATTTAATTGGTTTGGGGATTTTTGGGGCCTTTAGTATTTTATAAAAGAACTTAAACTTAAAAGGGCAAATTTAAAGGAAAGTGAAAGGAAGAAAGAATACAACATTAACAAAAATAACACTAATAAAACATTTCAATTTCCACTTAGCTTATAAAGAACTCTTGCTTATATTTTTAAAATATTCATATCATGTCAATGAAGAAATTATTTCCTTTTTTTAAGTTCACAAGAGACGATAATAGAACAAGAAGGTCAAGAATAATAACCGGAAGAGTAGAAGAGTGAACAGGAGACAGAGTAAGAAATAAAATTGTTTTTAAAAAGTACTTTAAACAAAAGGAATGAATGAAGTGAGTCATTAAAGACCAGTGTTTGAGTTGTGCAGGTGGAGGCTG